TGTATTTGCTCTGTGTTTGAAAACAGGGAGTTCAGGAGCCTCAGGTCACACATCTTTCAATTTCACTCTCCTTTCTGGATGTTTGGTCATACACCTTTCTGCATGTGTTTTATTCTAGCAACAGCTTGCTATTTCTTTTGTTATCTTTGCCTATTTGTAAGACATTCTTTACTTATCTGTAACTGGCAAGGCTGTGTTAATTCAGAGCCGTAAATTTCTCTCCCACCTCTCCCTTAGAGATTTCATTTTCGTAAGTTTTTTATTCAATTACAAATGTCACTGGACACATCCAATCTTTTCAATGGTATTTACAAGTGTTATGCTGTGAGAAAATGAAGGAGTTTGTGTATTTATAGCCTTCTTTATATGTGCTGAATTAAACCCTTCAGTGGTGAATAAAAGAATGATTGCACATTTGACTTGGAAATATCTGTCGTTCCCCTTCTATCAGGTATTCTCTAATACGACTTACAACTGAAAGAGTGCCTTTGCCCCATGGCCAAAATTACACAAACGTAATGAAATAATGAGTGCACATCTAACTTTTTTTAGTGCAAAGGCTGCCTTACATGAGGGATCTTATTCACATCTGAAGCATACTTAGCTGAAGGAATCATGATGCTACCTACTCCTCTTTTGAAACCTGAAAATATCTCACCGAATCACAGAGCTGCTGAGCTTGGAAGACACCTCTAGAGGTCAGCTGATCCAAACCCCCTGCTCAAGCAAGGTCACTTAGACCAGGTTGCTCAGGAACCTGTTCAGCTGGACTTTGATTATCTCTACAGACAGAGACTCCACACCATTTTAGTGATCAGTCTCCTTTCCAGGAAAAAAAAGTTTGTCTTATGTGTAAGCAGAATTAGGAGATTAGCAAAATTGTATTTGTTAGATAAACTTTGTTAGAGGTGTCTTCCTGCTCCTTGCCCTTAACATTCCTTCCCTCCAGGGTATCAACTGAACCACACAGCTTGGTGTCATCAGCAAACTTGCTGAGGGCGCACTCAATCCCACTGTCCATGTCACCAACAAAGATGTTGAACAAGACCAGTCCCAACACTGATCCCTGAGGGACACCACTCGTTACTGATCTCCAGCTGGACATTGAGCCATTGACCACAACTCTTTGTGTGCGGCCATCCAGCCAGTTCTTTATCCACCGAGTGGTCCATCCATCAAATTGATGTCGCTCCAATTTAGAGACAAGGATGTCGTGTGAGACGGTGTTGAATGCTTTGCACAAGTCCAGGTAGATGACATCAACTGCTCTACCCCTGTCCGTCAGTTCTGTAGCCCCATCATAGAAGGCCACCAAATTGGTCAGACAGGATTTCCCCTTAGTGAAGCCATGCTGGCTGTCACCAAGCACCTTGTTGTTTTTCGTGTGCCTTAGCATGCCTTCCAGGAGAATCTGCTCCAAGATTTTGCCAGGCACAGAGGTGAGACTGACTGGTCTGTAATTCCCCGGGTCATCCATTTTCCCCTTCTTGAAAATGGGGGTTATATTTCCCTTTTTCCAGTCATCGGGAACTTCACCTGACTGCCATGATTTTTCAAACACGATGGCCAGCGGCTTAGCAACTTCATTCGCCAGCTCCTTCAGGACCCGCGGATGGATTTCGTCAGGTCCCATGGACTTGTGCAAGTTCAGATTTTTGAGATGGTCTCGAACCAGATCCTCTCCTACAGTGGGCCCAAGGTCTTCATTCTCACAGTCCCTGCGTCTACCTTCCAAGACTTGGGTGGTGTGGTCAGAGCCTTTGCCAGTGAAGACCGAGGCAAAGAAGTCATTCAGAACCTCAGCTTTCTCCAAATCCAAGGTAGCCAGTTTTCCCAAGAGCTTCCTGAGGGGGCCTAAGTTCTCCCTAGTCTGTTTTTTATTTGCTATGCAACATTCCATTGTTGCTGTTATGTTAGAGCCTTAGAACATTAGTTTTCCTTCAGTATGGAAACGTTACAGTAAAGGTGTTTTTGCAGCCCTGACAAACAGGCATCTGGCAAACCTGCATGTGCAGTTTAACAAATACCAGAGTCTACAAAGGCATAAGCTCTTCATAAACTGAATGAATGAATAGTAAACTTCTGTTCTGATCTGCCCATTGAATAAGCCTCTCTCTCCATTTTTTACAGAATGATAGGAAAGAGATCTTAAACTTTTGAGAGAATACGTCAGGACTTCTGTGTTTAAAAACTCACAGAAAAAGTCTACATAGAGCTTCGTATAAAAATATTTCACAACTCATAAAAAGAAAGATACTTCTGTCATAGAAATGCTTCTATTTGAATGAAATTGTTTGCACAGACAACTTCTGAAGCGAAATAAGACATTGCTGAAGAAATTCACCATGGTAATCTTAGGCAAATTGCCACCTAAAAGCATAATCTGAAAGCAGAATCTACCACAGATAGAAGAAACTAAGGTTACCACTTCTACTTCTTCTACCACTTGGAAGAAATCAAGGCTAATATCTTTCTGAAAACTTACATTAAGCCACTGACCAAATCTTTCGGTTTAACCTACAGGAACAGTGTGTAGAATTCTTTTCCCAGTAGTTGACTGGAAGTGATTAAGAATAATATGTTTTGCGTACTGAGACTAATATATTCAGGAGTTGGTGCTCTGGGACTGAAATAAATTCCATAAAATTTGTTCACTTGTTAGCTGAATGGCATTAATGACTGACCTTCTTAATCCATATTCAGAAACTTTCAGATCAGAAAGGTCATCTCTAACAGCCACACCTATTCATATGTATATTCTACATCACACTTACAAATGGGGTTGTTGTCTTCAGATTAATAGAAAATTAACCACTACATCATTAAATCTGGGAATACAGTCTTGAGAATTATACAAATCTATGTACAATAATAATAATGATAAGCATGTGGATATTCCCTGCAATAGCAATTGCAATCTGCAAAACCCAGTGTCCTGGGTTCCGCAGTAGCAGTCATGTTTTTCCTTTGTGTTAACTGGTACAGTGCTGTGTTTTGACTTCCAGTTTGAGAACAGTGTTGGTGAAGCCGATGTTCTCGGTTGTTGCTAAGTGATGTTTACCCTGACCAAGGACTCTGTGAGGCTCATGCTCTGCCAGGGAGGAGGGGAGGCTGTGAGGAAGCAGAGACGGGGCGCCTGACCCGGGCTAGCCGGGGAGGTATTCCATACCACAGCACGTCATGCCCGGGGTGAGGGGTAACTGGGAGTTACCCGGAAGGACAGGGGCTTCCGGGTGGAGCTCGTTTCTCTTGGCTGGTGGTATCGTATTCTCTTCCCTTGTTATTTTCCCTTATCATTGTTGTAGCTGATAGTAGCGGTGGTGATTTGTTGCTGGACTGTTTTTGTCTCAACCCGTAGGAGTTGCACTCTCTCGATCCTCCTCCCCGTTCCTCCGGGAGTGGGGAAGGGGAGAGCCCCGGTGCGGGGAGACGGACACGGACCTCGATTGTTGTCAGCTCGGCACCACTCACTGGGAGTGAGTGAACAAGCTACCTGACTGGGTTTAAACCACGACACCCAGGCAGTGTATAGAAAAAAAACCTCAGAGTTTTGTACCACATAATATTCCCAGTAAAAATACCTGCTTTCAAATGCAGCATTTTACTAGCTATTTTGGGGAAGATATAGCCATTAAAGAGTATCATTTAGATATACAGTATGAAATAGCTCTTAGCAAAACTGAGCTTTTGGCTTTCAGTTCAGTGAGTCATAGAATTTAAAGAACAACAAACATATCCTGAACTTCATTGTATTGCTTGGTACCATTGATTATTTCACAGGCAAACTAAAACAAGTTACAAAAACGAGGCAATAAAAATAAATATTTAAGTTATTTCATTTTGTTCTTTATCACTGCTCAAAATTACTGGTTTTCGTAGTAGAAAAAAGAAAAGTGGTGCACCATTAACAACTTTGATGAAATCTGAACAGCTCTATTAGATACAGTAAGTAAAAAACTTACGGTATCTTTTAAACAGTCATAGTGCAAAGGCAGATTAAAAGCAGATGTTTATAAGTGAAATAACCTATCATAACAAACAGCTATTAGGTTACCAAATAAAATTGAATTTACCATGGCTGTGAATTTGGCAAAAGTTTTTTTAGCATAGGAACAGGCTGTTGTTTATTAATATTTAACCTGAGAATGATAAACATTTTGTAAAGCGTTAACCTACATTCTATAGTCTATGTATTAGAGCAGTGACTAATAGAAATGACTAGAAGAAAATATAGTTCAGACTGGAGAGAGGATTTCAGTCCTAGAAAATATATTATTCTATCAAAGTAAGCAGTGACCTTCAGCCTCCCTCATTTAGTCACATGAAGCAGCCTCCTAAGTGAATATTTTGAGTGCCAGCCTAGCTCATCAGCTACAAAATGGCATATGTCATGTGATGTATCACATAAACTAGGATACACAGGTTAGTGGACAGCATTTGCTCTGCAAATACTGAACTTAAGCTTTAACTGTTACATACATTTTTCCTTGTAAATTCAATTATTCTGTATTAAAACTTGCATGTTAAATGTATAATAAAGCAAGAATACATTTAAACCTAAGTTTGAGAATGGAGTCTTTTTGCTTATTAGGAGTCCATTGTAGCATCTCTGGTTAATAGCTGTAGTAAAATAATCTACTGAACAGCATACTACAAGTATAGTATATCTTACAGCCTGTCACTAAATTTTTGGATCATATTCAGGACATCATAGCACTTCCTTCTATATAGTTAGTGATATTAAACTATGTACACAGTACTCTACTGATGATGAATGAATGAATGATGATGATGAATTATACAAATCACCATGTTTGTATGTAATTCTTACTTTAGCTAGCTGTGCCTTCAATTTAATTTTTATGTTATGTAGTTATATTATGATGTAGGTACTGATCATGGATCAGGCCATCTTGTACATAAGCACAGAATGACAAGTCAGTCCTCATTTGACTTTTGCATTACAGGCAACACTGAGTGAATTCTAGAATTGTTCTTACCTTTTCACTTCTTCCACTGTCTGTGCCCAGGTGTCTTCCAATGGTATTTGCCTCACTACTATTTTTCTCTTCCTGGCCTCTCCTCCAATAACCATATTGTGCATCCTGGAGTACAAAAAAGGTGTTTGCCTTAGAAGGTGGACTACAAAACCGCTGAATTTTTTCTGTTTGCTTAAAATGCTGTATAAGTCAAGTGCAGAAAAGAACTTCAGTCAGACTCTGTAACTTCTAGTTATTTTGGAATCACTGGATGATGTTAGAGGTAGCTTAGACATCCCTCATGCACCGCCTGTATATCTACATTAGCCTTAAATTCAGTGGAGAAAGAGGTAGGCAAGCAATATAGCTCATGGTGCATTGAAGTTAAAAGAAACTGTAGGGTTTGTTGTTTGTTTTTTTTTTAATTTTCCTTCTAATAATTACTCCTACTATCCTCAGGTTGAGGCTTAACTGTGTTCTGCCTACAGCAGATCTAACAATCACAATTGTCATTTACAAGGTAATTGTTTAGTTCAGAGTTGACTTCCAATTACTTTCTTTGAATGTCTGAGGTACTCTGCTGGAACTACTAAATATTGATAACCAGTGACAAAACCCAGGAAAATATATTTCAGTTCTGCAGCACTTTGCCATAAATGAGAAAAGGGACAGAAAACCAGCAAGCAGGCACTTGCACTCTGATACTAATACCTGTGATATTTTCTGGTTTTGTTTCGTGTTTTTTTTTTCTGAAGTCTTATTTTAATTAAAAATAATAATTAAAAAACAAAAGAAAAAAGAAAAACAAAGAAACAAAAAACTGTACATTCTTATACAAAGAGTTGTCTTTTCCTTTGGCTAAAAATGCCAATCACAGCCTGTTTTCCTAACAGAAGTGTCTCATAGGAAGTAGTCTGTAGACTATGAGCACGAGACAGACTTCCTTCCTTACTTGAGGACAGGGACATTCTGAATTACATAGTGCTAATAACACAAAAGACAGCAGTCTCTAGTGTTGACTTTGGCATTCTAAAAGACCAACAGCCTCCTTAGATGTGGACAGCTTCTATTTGCACTTATGTCATATTGCTTCAGCTACCTCCTCCTGTTCAGTTGTGAAGATTGGTATTCAATGTCCATTGGACATGTCTGCAGAAAACATCTTCTAAATTGCTAGTCTGTAATCAAAATGAGGTACTATTTTTCCTAGGTTGTAATCAAAATGAGGTACTATTTTTCCTAGGTTGATCATCAAGATGTCTCATACTAGTTGGAAAACAAGTGCTGTTAATAGCCTTGATATGATCTTCCTTTTCACAGTATATCCTAGACTATTTTCCAGATAGATATTTCTGTTGTACAGAATTTACATGTTTTTTCAGTTTTATCCCAGCAACTTCAACTTTATTCAAACCTGTTCACAGTCCTAACTCATGGCTGGGCTTAAACCATGACACTTAAATGCTTTTTTCTCCCCCAGATCAAAACATAACGTGGTTGAAACATGAAAATTTGTATTTTCCTGTGAAATAGCTTGGGTGCCAAGCACAATCCAAACTGCAATCTTAAGCATGTCTCCCAAATGGAATGTTGACCATGCTCAAAAATATGCTCTGTTTTTCCAACAGAACCTGCCAGAACCCTGCTGATCTATCAGTTAGGAAAACACTAGGCATCAGCCACCTCTCCTAGAAATTATACTTCAGTGGTAGAAGTTGTTACCTCCCTTAGTTCATAAGCAAAGTCATCTTCCACCTAACCTTAATTCTACATTTTTCTACTGTTTTCAAAGAACTCCCCCTTTCAGACTCTGTTTGGATGAGAAAAATGTTCCTAAGGCAATTAGTTGTGGTATACCTGAAATCCTTAAGACATTTTTGTCTGGTTGACAGCTTTCCTATCTCAAGAAAACACTCCCAAACATTCTCTAGATATAATTTTACTCCCACCTGCAACTCTTCAAGTCAAATTATTTTAACCTAATGATTTTTTCCTCCTCTGGAAATGTCACAAACTGCATCTACTTCCACATGTTTTTTACTCATGTATGTTAGAGACAAATTTGGCTAATGAAGATAAGATCATAACACTAAACCCCATACGCCACTCATACTGCAGCCTGTGGCTTCAACTTTTGCGTTAATACTGCTGGTTATGGCACAATGCCGTTCCCTGCAGTCTCCAAGTAAAATTCAACTTTCTGTTTGCGTTAACAGCCTGATTGTTCCTGTAGAATGGCAAAAAATTTTCAAGAGAACAGAGACTAGAAAATGCTTGTAGTATTTTTCTCTAAATGCAATGTAACTTCAGCCTCTCAAAAATATGTCAAGAAGTATGAAACCTAAACATTAGAGGCATGGCTCTAATAAGAATAGACACTCTCCCTATTCTTACTCAGTGATGTTATTCTTACTTTTCTAGATTCTACTAAGAAATTTCTATATATCGTCCAGTTAAATTTAAGGAAAAGAAGAAATCTTGAAGTTGATTTTTATGTTAAAATGCCTCAAACTGTTAAAACACTGAATTTGATTCAGTGTTAAATTAAATTGTCTAAATTCCTGTGCCACTAGTAAATTAAGCCAAAACTACCTCAACAGCATATGGATTTACCAGCCTATTTAACTATTGCACATATTTGGGAAAAGGAAGAATTACTTAAACCTCCCTGTCCCCCAAAACACCCTATCAGGTCTTTATTGTAACTGTTTTATCATATAATTTACTTTTGTACCTGTGCTTCATTATGAAGTCAAAAAATTTTATTTATACTGCAATCTCAAAGCACAGCAAATATGCTGAGCTAAGCAGTAATATTATTACAAATTATGGTGTCAACAAGGCTCTTATACATAAGGTCAAACAATTTCACTGCTGCAGAAATATTTGTGATTTTTTATAATTTTTTAAAAACTCCATTGCAAGTACAAGGAAGGCCAAATTTTCCAAAAATAACAAGACAAAAAAACCCAGAGTCTGCTCTGGTGGCCACGGGGATACACGTAGTCATGTTTTGGAAGTTTCTTCTGGACTTATGATCTCAAAAAATCACAAAAAATAAGACAAAAGTAAAACCAACATTTTCACAGTCATTTAACAGAATTATGATGAAACTCAAAATTACAACCAGTTAACCATCTTAATAATTATCAGAATAATTAGCAAACACATAATATTTATTAGAAGCTGTTTTCTCCACAACCTTTCATTATTTTCTTTCCAATAAAGTATATTATTGCTTTAGACTCTTTTTAATGTTACCTATTTAACCTTTTTCTTTTTGTCAGCTCTTGAAACAGAGCACAGATATGGATTTCATAACAGCCTTACATTAATGCTTTTCAGAATTAAGTTTTTCCCCTATAGAAATTCAAATTTTTATTTTAGCTCTGGTTTAGGATGAAAATAAATGTATGATTAATATACAGGGAAGATGGATGCATGATTAATATACAGGGAAGATGGATGTGTGGAGAGCTTTTTTCCCTATCTTTCTTCATTATTTTCTCTTATCTTTCTTCAGTAGATTTTCAAATATCCCGTGGCATAAGGAAAATAAATTTATTCCTCTTTTACAACTAGAAAATAACCTCAGACTGTGAACATAAGTTGTCTAAAACAACCTAATAGACTGCTGGAAGACAGGGGTAAGATGTCCATCACAGCTGCAGGGTATTTTAAGAGTTAAACTGGTATAATGCATAACTATGGAATGTAAGGATGATTTCAATGAGATTCTACCAGGAACATAAATAAAATCACATAAGAACATATTTTAAAGTATGGTCATGACACAAAGAGGAAAACAGAACATAAAGAATAGTATTTGTAGAAATTGTGAAACAGTACAAAACTAGAACACTGGTAGAGAACCATGCCTAAGCAGAGTGAAAGGTACATGAATATTTGAGGCAAATACTTTATTTACTGAGCAAATAAAGAACTAAAAAGAAATTAAAATGTTTTGTTTGGGAAGCAAATGGACTGGTTTTTATGTTCTTATTTAAAAAAAAAATAGCCAAAAAAAATCACATTCAATTTGAAGAAGATCATTCAGGTTTATACTCAGTTTAAAAACAAGAATATATTAGCTGCACATATACACATGACATTCCAGCAGGAAACTGTAGAAACACAGATAAGCATGAAATTCCATTTCCAACTAAAGAATTTTCAACCTTAGCTTTCCTCAAAGTTCACTGTCTATAATTTATTTTTAAGGTTAACCAATAAAGAACTCATCAGTAAAATATCCAGAGTTCATTTCTTCTTCTGGGTATGATCATCTGTAGGAGACTACAATTGTTCTGTACCAGCTCTTTTGCCTGCATTCAGTAACAGCAGTCATCAGGCATAGATTGACCCTGTAAAATATTTACATTTGAGTCTAGAAAGAGTATAACAATCTGTAGTGTCATAATATGAGTGGCAGATCCTCATTGTTTCAGGCTCTGCTCCTTCTTGTTAGAGAAATTCAGCAAGTGCAAAGGAGCATGACTATATCTTGCAGTGCTAAACAAATGATTCTGATATCCGGTCACTGTCAAATGCTTCTACTTCTTTCGGTTAACTGAGTATCCTTCACAGACTTCACAAACCAAGATACTGATGGGAAATTAAGAACTTTTTGGTTCAATAGGAATTTTACAGAAATCTAAATGCCTTTGAATAAACCTTATTGAAAGTTTGAGAATACTTAATTGAAAAATTGTAAATTAAAAACAAAAAAGTCTGATCAAGTTGAGTTAACTATAATCTTCTGTAAATGTTTAAGTAATTGGCACTGCATAGTCAGTTGGAGTTAAGCAATAAACAAGAAAGAAGAATTCATGGTTTCTGCTACAGAATCTATCATTCAGGCAGGTAATTGAAGATCCCTACGCCTCTGCTGTTCATTACTAATATCGTTTATTTAAATAGAGGTCATCTGGACAAGAGCTGCCTTTTATCAGATTTGTATAGAATCAGAGAACCATAGAATAATTAGGCTTGGAAAGGACCTTAAGATCATCTAGTTCCAACCCCCCTGCTGTGGGCAGGGACACCTTACACTAAATCATATAACCCAAGACCTCGTCCAACCTGGTCTTGAACACTGCCAGGGATGGAGCATTCACAACCTCCCT